GGAGAGATGGAGCAAAACATTACTCTATTTTTTCCAGTTTGGGCACTTTGTGTAGTTAACAATGCTTTGCTCTGTGTATAATCATTTGGCACACAGAGTCCCATTGCCAGATCAGGGCCTTATTCAACCTGTTTGAGCGGGTCTTTTAGTCTCCATCACTGACCACAGATCTTTAAATGCTTAAGCCAGTATTATTCAACCTTTTTGTGGAGCCCTAAGAAGTTTTGAATGGAGACTTGAACCCCTTTGGAAATCTTAGGAATAGTCTGTGGACCCCCAGATTGAAAACCACCAGCTTAGCAAATATGAGAAAAATCACACTGCTAACGGGACTAACACGTGACTGACCTGGATCACTCCTTGTAGTCTGGAAAATTCAATTTCCAGCTTTTCCACCTGTTGCTTCAGCATGTTCAGTTGCCGCAGGTAGAGTCGTGAAGGAAATATGGTGTCTTTGATTACTTCAAAACTCTAAGCATCACAAAGAAACCAGGACTATTTTCTGAGTTAAACACAATGGGTGAAATATCAAAAGCACCTAAGGGACTTGGGAGCACAACTCACACCGAAAGTCAGTGGAAACTCTTCTGATTGTATTCAGTGGCATGAAACAACATGGATAGGCCATTTCAAATCTGGTCTAATTTTTTCCCTTTCCCATCCTTTGGTCAGAGTACACCAGAAAAGCAGACATTCTACATTCAGATCTCATCTTATTATTTGCTAATTTTGAATGTTGCAGGGGGCTGCAAACGGGTAGACCACGAGAAACTGAAGGATGGGCCACATTTCTTTGGAAAGGTGTGGTCCTGCAGATTCTCAATAAAGTTTCCCATTTTAACTTTGAATTCTACAGTATGTTTTTGGTCCGACCCATCAGGATCATGCACTCATATCTTCTAGGCTATTAAGAGTTGCAAGCTGGGTCCTAGGTCATTGCAAATCCTCCAGATATTGCAATAAAGTCTCCAACTTCACATACAATCTCAATGTCACCTTAATTTTGGGCATTTTTACCATACCTATTCCCCCAGCAGATACCTCCCATTTGAACCTTAATAATTCCTTCCAAACCTTTCACTAGACATAGATTCTCCAATAGCTACAATTGAATTTTCACCTTAATTTTGGAGTTAGGTGCAGTACACATGCACAGAGTGCTATGGTAATCTCAGACAGGCAGAAATAGAGATTTAGAAAACATACCTGTGCAACACTGTTCTGGCACCACCAGTACAAAGACGATGCTGTCATTGCCAAGGGCCTTACTGCATCCTTTACACTTGGGACGGCTAATGGCCAGAAAGTGCTACTTTGGCTGTGGGGGGGATTTGGAGGAAGACCATCCAATAACCTGTGGAAGAAAATTTCAAATGTATCTTTACAAGTAAGTAAATCATTTTAGCCATACAAAAATGTAACTGTGGTCAGTCTGTTGGTCATTTAGAAGTGTCAATGTAACAGATGAGTTTGGAGTAAACATCAATGCAAGGGAAGGGGATGGTAGGAAAATTTGTGTTACACTGTAGGGAACATTCCTGTCCTGACAAAAGAATAAGATCTTCTCAACAGGTTTTTTCAGGCTCCAACTACTGAGATTTTGTGATAACTCTTTTCCAAGCCCAATTTTCTGAGGCATTTAAAATTAGATTGGATAGGAAGGACACTGGAAGATGTACAAGAGGGAACAATTCTGCAGCAGCCAGGCCATGAAGTAGATGGGACTCAACGAGTCTCCTCCATCTCCAATTTCTGTGCTTCAGTATACTTTTTGGAACTAGCAATGGACCTATGAGAATTGGGTTAATGAGAACACTAAATGTAATGTGAGCTCACCTTTGAGGGAGAGGATTCAAGCACTGCAGTTTACTGACATCTCCCTTCTTGTTCATTAGAAGTTTTGCACGGGCCCGCAGCTTCCGCCGGCGTTGCTTATACTTTGCCATTATTTCTAGGGAGCCAAGTTCAAGAGCAGTTAAATCACTCTACAAGAGTGTATAATCGTGCTTTTATTAAAGAGCAGAGCTGCCACAAAAAGGTGAAAAAAAGAAGGGATGCATGTGAATAATCCCACTTCAAGATATTTGGAATTGTCTTGTTTTAATAGAAGTAATGCTTAGACGCATGAAAAAATTAATACCTCCTTTAAAGTATTCCTGTGATCACCTGGACAGAGTTTGTACATGTTAAGACAGCTGATAGAATGACGTTGAAACTGACATTTTAATCTCTCCCATTTTAAACCACCCCATGTGAGTGAATATGGTGGAATTTTTTATAAGGGATATTGGGAAGAGAGGACAAAATCATATATTTGGTAGAGGAAATCATCATATAATTCTGCACAAGATATGGAAAAATAATATATCCAGGACCTATGTAAAATGTACCACTTGCTCCAAGGCTCCCCTTTGTCTGTTTTGATCTTTGCCAGGACCCTGGTGATGAGTGGAATCGGAGGGAACACGTACATCAGGCTCCCTGACTATGACAGTAGGAAGGCATTGGGCCTGGGTTGGCATGCCCCGAACCCCGGCTTGGTCCTGTCCAGGACTAACGAAGAGTTCGAGAACTGCTACTTAAAGGTAACTAAGAAAACTACTAACTATATACACCTATATTACAGGTTTTCAAAGTTTGCAAGAACAGAGAACGAAACAATGCTCGCCGAAGCAGCAGAAGTTCCAGCACCGTGACTGGCAGCAAGGAGGAACTGAGGGTGGGGGGAGCTGGCGGCACCCCTTATACCACACCATGTGGACACCACTCCAGGGGGCGCCAGACCTGGCCCCCTACGGATACTGCTGAGGGAAAAACTTCCAGAACCGATGCATGTGTTGAGCATACACACCTAATATGGAATGGACATGAGCAAGCACTCAAAGAAAAACCTTAGTAATTTGCATATCCAATAATCCCTATGCAAACAGCCATCTCTCCACACTGATCAGTTTAAGAGTAGAGAGCTGTAGTCAGGCCTCATAACAAAGAATCTATTCCCTTTACAAAATGCACTGTAATTATTTTTAGGTTTCAAAGTAGCAGCTGTGTTAGTCTGTATTCGCAAAAAGGAGTACTTGTGGCACCTTAGACACTAACAAATTTATTTGAGCATAAGCTTACGTGAGCTACAGCTCACTTCATCGGATGCATTTTTAGGTTGTATCAGAGTTAAAATTAAATCACAATCTCAAATGAACAGTAGGTATTCAGTGAAGCATTGTCTCTCATTTAAAAAAATAATGTTTGTTCACTCATTTGCTACTCACTAATGTGCATTCTCATCATTAGAGTGAAATGGACATGGGTCTAGTGTATGCATGGGGATCCGCAAAGCAATTTGGGACCCTTTGCAGTAAGAAGTCCCACAGTACCATGGCTATTATTACAGCTAGTTTGACTCTATTCACGTGGCAGCCATTCTCCTCTCAACTTCGTTAGAGAAGAATTTTATTGTGGTTAGGATGCCAGACTGGTGCTTGCACTGGGTTCAATTTTTCCAGCTGTAAAATGGGAACAAAATCCTTCTGTTCTCCCACCCTTTGTCCCTCTTGCCTAGTTAGGCGCAAGCTCCGTGTCTTACTATGTGCAGTAGAACCTCAGGGCGATGAACACCTCGGGAATGGAGCTTGTTCGTAACCCTGAACAAAACGTTATGGTGGTTCTTTCAAATGTTTAAAGCTGACTGTTGACTTAATGCAGCTTTCAAACTTTACAATGCAGAAGAAAAATGCTGCTTTCCCTTTACTTTTTAGTAGTTTACGATTAGCACAGTACAGTACTGTATTTGCTGCTGCTGGTTTTTGGGTTTTTTTTTTTTTTTTGGAGGGGGCGGGGTCTCTGCTGCTGCCTGGTTGTGTACGTCTGGTTCCCAATGAGGTGTGTGTGGTTGACTGGCCAGCTCGTAACTCTGCCGTTCTCCTGTGTCCGTACCCAGCACCCCGGGCAGGGCCCTGAGACTGGGACCCTAGACTGCACTGCCTCCCCGCGGCAGGATGCCCCCCAGCCTAGCAGGGCATGCATCACTCTGGGAGCCCCCGCAAAGCCCTCACGCTTTCCCCACAGGCCCCCTCCCCAGAACCCCTGACCCCCTTCGCGACTCACCCTTGCACCCGCACCCAGAGGAGAGATGCCCCCCCTCTCTCTCTGCACCCCCACCCTCGGGTGGGGTGGCCTGGCCTCAGCCGACCCGCCCCTCTGTGCTCCCCGGGTGGGGAGTCACCAGTCACCCCAGCCACTCGGCTCGCCCCCTCTTTCCCTTACTTACCGGCTCATCGGCCCGAGCAACCTCCCTGCGATTCAAAATCGCTACACCAGCCACCCAAAGCCAATCGCAGCCCCGCTCTCTTCTGCCGCCCACGGAGCCCGACACCCGCCGGAGCTATCCAAGCTCTGATTGGTTACAGCGAATTCAGGTCCAGCCAGTCGACGCCAAGAGTGTACGTGATCAGGAGGGGGAGGGGAGAAAAACCAATCCCAGCATAGCTCTCATCTGCCATCAGCACATCCTTCGCCACACGAAGGAAAGCTGTCTCACGATTGGTTGGAAGGGTGTCAGCTCAACCAATCAGTTTGCCAGCTTGTTTGTTTTACAAAAGACCAATCAGATTAAAAAGTGGGAGGGGAGAAGCCAATAAGAGAGAAGTGGACAAGATAAACGAAAAAGAGGCATAGTTTCCTCGCCCCCCCTGCAATAGACCAATCAGAAAACAGTGGTAACCCTTCTATCCAATTATCCATCACTATTAGTATAGCTCCAATCTCAGCCAATCACAATTGCAGTCCACTCTCAGCCAGTCATAATTCGCGGCTCTCCTTTCCTAACCAATCACATGGTGCAGTTTTTCTTCCAACCAACGGCCGCATCCGTGTCATAAGCAGGGTTTACGTCCTTCCCCGACCAATGGGAGCGGGTCTGTGTCAGCAGCGGGCCAATCACAATTAAGCAGTGAGTGACAGCTGCCCAATGACGACTCCCGGCTTTCCCATCCTGAGAAAGAGGGGGGTGGCTATATCTCCGCCGCTGCCTGAGGAATGTCAACTATTCAACATGGAGACGGCGGTTACCAGGCTTGAGACCATGGTGAGTTCACGGGGCGGGGGCCAGGCCGAGAGCGGGGCCGGCGCGTGAGAGGTTGTGGGGGCGAGGCTGGAGGTAAGCGGGCGCTGGAGCAAGCTGTGGGCTAGGGGGGTCAAGGGGACCGTCCCTATCCAGACTCGTGGGGGCAGCTGGGGATTGGAGCGGGAGGCACAGGACTGTTCCTCCCTCCTGTCGGGCCGGTCCATTCTTCTTTCGAGGGGCAGGGGGGAGGACAGATTCGTCTGGGTCTGTTCATTTTGTCCTCGCCCTGGGGAGGGGAATAGGTAGATTTTGGCGGGCCGCTCCATTCACCTCTCCCCATCCGGCGGTGGGGGGGGGGGTAGAGGGCGGTCGCCTGGGTCGATCCATTTTCCTCTCAGGCTGGGGAGTGGAGCAGAGCTGGTCTGGAGTGGTCCATTTTCCTCTTTGGCTGGGGAGCGTAGAGGTTGCCTGGACTGGCCCATTCTCTAGGGAGGGAGAGGGCATGGAAATTCCAGCCCAGTACATGTGGAGCCTAACCTGGCTACTCTGGGCTGTTCCATCATGCGGGGGTGGGTGTGGAGCAGCAGAGTTCATTTGGGCCCGTCCATTTTTCTCCTTCCTTGGAGGCAATGGGGTGGGCATAGAAGTTTTCTGGGTGGTCCCATTTGCCTCTCATCCCAGTGGGGTGGTGATGGAGCAGAGCTCACCAGAACTGATCCATTCTTCTCTTTATCTGGCGGTGGGATGGGGAGGAAACTGGAACAGAGCTCCTCAAGGCCACTTCTTCCCTCATACAGGGCCCCTCTTGTATGGGGGAAGGAGGGCAGAGCTGTGCTGAAGCTGATCCATGCTCTTGTCTGGTTGAGGGTGGGAAGAGCTCACTTGGGCTGGTCTGTTTCCACTTACTTTGAAGGATGAGTGGTCAAAACTTGTGTGGGACATTCTGTTTCCCCAAAAGCTTGTGGAGGCAGAGCTCCTGTTGGCTCGCCTATTCCCCACTGACCATGCTGATGGAGATCTTTCATGAGCCGTTTCAATGTGGCAAAAAGACTGCTTAGACTGGTATTGTGTGCCCCGCTTAGTGGGGGAAGGAAGATGCTCACTTCAGCCCTTCCAGGCCATAGGTCTCTTAATTTTAGCACTGTTTGATCGAGTCCCCCTCAGGCAGGACCAAGTCATGCTGTGTAAGTAGTTTCCTTTTTTCCTACCTCCAGTCATGTTAAATAGCTGTGCTTTAACACACATCACTTTTATAGTGCAATTAGGCCCAAGAAAGGATTCCCCCTTCATATGCACCAGAGTCCTTCTGTGGCATCCTTCAGGAGGTAGTTCGTGTTAACCTACTTTTTTTGTTTCTGGAGTTCTTATGTTAATTTATTTCAGTACTTACTGGGATTATTATAGGCACATATTTGTCTGTTTATAATTTTGTTTAACATGCTTGGAGATGTTTGGGAATGGTCTGTGCATTCTAATTTATTATGAATATTAATTCTTACATTGTGCCATAAACATAGATTTTATAGGCTTTTATATGAGAATTACACACACTAAAATGTGATTCTGCAAAATATCTCTCTATTGTTTCCTTGTGGTATTTGTCAGCAAACTTCCAATTACCCATTTATCTCAATAATGCTACTAGTTTTGGTAACCCATCTAATAGACCATCAATAGCCTCACAGAGAACACACTAGGTTATTGAATACAGGGAGTTAGCTATTGCAGTAGATTAGTACTCTGGTTTTTAATATATGGAAACATGGGACTAAAACTTTAATTAGGTGGAAAGTGAAAATGAGTTTGGTGTTCTCCTGATCCTTATTTATACATTTTAAAATCACTATAACAAGCTTCTCAAGAGAAACTCAAAACTAGGAGGTAAAATGGCAGAGCTTTGTGGGAAAGTGTTGATGTTTTATGTCCACGCTATCGCTGAATCTAGTCTGTGCTTTTAAGACCTTCACTTTCGTAACCACCAAATTAAAGCACTTCCTAGCCCCTTCTATTTCATTTAATAACTTTTTTCAGTTACCTGACTGTCCCTCCCATTCATGTTTTTGAACTTCCACTTCCAATGTAATTATTTCTTTAATACAGTAACAGCAATGAGCAAATGAAGCATTTGTTGTCTGAAAATAAACAACTTGTACTTTTGGCTGAATGCCTTCTAAGCTTGTTCTTCTAATGTGCCTCTGTCATCTCATTGAGTGACCTGCATTACCTTCCTTATTCCAGTCCAATGGCTCTTCTGAGTAGCACTGTAACATATGTAGTGGTTTTATGAGAACACTAGATTACAATTTGGAAAAAAATAACATTATTTGTATCACATTATTAGAAAATATCTGAATCTAATGCTCCAGAGTTAAAAGGTCATGGCATTAAAAATGTACACTATGTAAATCTGAATTTCACAGTATATTTGAAAGATGCATGCTTTGTGTTAAGCTGTTTTGTGTGGGTTTGTTTGTTTGTTTTTTGTTTTTTAAATCCCAAGCCATACTTTGGAATCTGGTAAATTATACCTTTATAGCGTCCCATATCCAGTATCTACTAAAGTGGTGTCATCATATTCAAATAATGTTTGGAATGGTAATACTATACTGTGTTTGACTTGAATGATGTTTAAATTCTTCTCAAATCTCAGAAGATCAATTTTGATTTTAAATGTAGAACTTGTAGTAATGTCCATACAGGTCAATTTGTTTTGAAATCTACCTGTCTCTTCTGTTGCTTTTTTCTTTTTAACCTTGTCCTATTTTTAAATTTACTTCTTTAAGACTATTTTTCTTATGGAAAAACTGCCTAGAAATTATCAATATCCTGAATGTCAAATTTTGTGTCAATATTTCAAATACTCACATTTTAGCCACACTTTGTAGAATCAGATGGATCATGATTTTTGCTTCAGGACACAAAAATAATTGCAACAAAAATAATCAAGTAAATTACTGTTCAGGAATAGTGAGTGATATCAAAGCCCCTTTAAAGTCAGTTAGAATCTTGCCATTGACTTAATTGGAGCCAGGATATCAACCAATGTTTTTATGACCTACTTTCCAGGTAGACGTCTTGATTTTTGCATTAGGATTGGTTTGGACCAAATCATTTATTTATATTTATATATAAAAATTTGCACTCTGTCACTACTACCTTATGCTACCAGTGTTTGATTATAGTTTATTCATTTTCTCCTATATTGGCAAGGGCCATCTTGCATTCTTTTGTTTGATTTTAGGGGTACTGTTGACTTGTTCCAAGGGGAGACATGTCCAGCTGCCTTCTGCAATTAGGAAGGACCATGAGTGACACAATGCAGAGCCATCTTGAATATTTAGTTGTATATTCTCTCTCTCTGTCTTTTTTTTACACGAGATGTTACACAAAGTTGTACCGTTTTACTTTGTTTTAATTTCTTGCACGCAAGCTTAGCCAGCTTTTCAAAAGAGTGTGTGTGTGTCTTATCTCTCTCTGAAAGCATTAAATTATTAAAATTAATGGGAATTTGTGTCTTGCTAACTGTCCCTGGTATTGCAGTTTTGTGCATCTTGTTTATCCTTTTGGCTTGTTTGTTCTTCCTGTATTTTCTATGAAGTCGTCAGCTCTTTCCATAGACGTGTGATTAAAATAGTACTTCTAACTTCCCCAGTTTCAGTATGTACTTCATGAAAAGCTTTTAGTCTCTAGAGGAACCAAGGATAGACTATAGTTGTTTTGTAGGAAAACTTAAAAAGAACTAATTTTATTAATAGGAATGTGAATGATAATATTGAATAGCCATGTGGCTTAAAAGCGAGTCTGCATACATTTGAAAGACAAATGACCAAATTACAATAAGAAAAGAGTGAATCAGAGGATCCATAATGTGGTAAAATTCATTATGTAAAAAGAGCATAAACCTAAGTTTTAGTGTTTTGTTTTGTTTTTTTTAAGACTTGTTGCATTTCAGAAGGAGATATGCACCCAAGCTGAGGCTCTGATCCAATGCCCATTGATATCAATGGGAGTCTTTCTATGAACTTCAGTGAGCATTGGATCAGGCTCTAATGAGAGTACTGAACAATATATGGTGGTTGATTATGATTAAAGAAATGGTTGTTCTATAGTAAGTATTATTTACTTTTAAGTCAGACCTTCAAACATTGAGGTAGCATAAAGGTCTGAGGAAAATACATTCAAGTATGCAACATTTCAGTGTTCCTTACTGTAAAAACACAATTGCTAAATTAAACTTAAAATGCTTGTTTGAGAGCAGTCTTGTTCCATTTATTTCATTGTATTTTTAGTATGTTGGACCTACCTTTTACTTCCTGGTGAGTGGTGTCTGTCCAGTGCCCTTTTTATGTTGTACTACTAGTGATCATGCACAAAAAGCAGTGCAATGTTAAAAGGGCATTGGCCAGTGATACTGTCCACGTTAGTAATTTTTTTTTTTTTATGGAATCACAATTTAAGGGTCAGAGTACTTGTGTTTAGTCAGACTGGAAGACTATGCTACAATAATCATAAAGTAGGATTGCCACTTACACATTTTTTCACACATGCTGTCTTTATCAAAACTAGGATCATGGCCCAAGAAATATGTTCCACATGCAAGGAAGGGAACATCGTACTGGTTTCCCTAGGAAAACAATGTAGATGATGTCATAGGTGTGGAGTTGGCTCAGGTTGCAGCCATGGTGATTCAATACACCTTCATTCAGTTCCTCCATTTGTCTGAGTCTTGCTGTTAACAATCTTAGAATGTACAGGTGGAGATGGCCATTGGAATTATCTAGCCCTAGAGGTTCTGAAGGTTTTCTCATATTGCAGACCAGATTTTAATAAAGAAAATGTCTTTTAGACACCTCTCCCCTAATTCACAATCATGTTGCCTCGCTCCTATTTGTGACCATGTATCATTGCTGTGGTAACCACAGCATTTGCTAGAAAAATATTAGAAAACTAATTGTTAAAATAAACTTAAGGTAATTTAGCAGCTGGAAATAAGAACAACAAATTTCATGTGGCCAGAAAGT